GCCTTTGTCTTAGCCCCGCCAATATTGTTTGGCCATAAGATATTTATTTGCCTTGCTTTTCCATCGGGAATTTCCAATGTTTTTTTTCGTGGAGATGCCTCCACTAGAGGCAACCAGGCAGCCAGCCAGCTGGGCTGGGTGCTCCAAAGGTCAGCCCATCCGCTGCAGCAACAGTCTCTAACCGACTCCATCCATCCTCCAACCGACCAGTCATCGTCGTCATCCTCACCCGACTTTCACATTAGTTTGTGTGGGTCGACGTGCTCTATCGTTCATCGCTTGTATTATCGGCTCCGACATCGCCATCTTCATCTCCATCGGCATTGGCATCATCATCATCATCCTCCTCGTCGTCGTCGTCATCGCTTTTGGGCCACATCCCTCTCACCCATCCCACAGCCTCTGCGTTGGCCAATTCCTTTGATTACCGCACCCTTTTCGCTTTTCGCTCTTTGTTCGGGCCTGGGTCATCATAAATTGTTTGCTTTCGAGTCAATTATTGATATAGGATTTTCAGGCCGTGATTAGGCCGCCTCTTCCCCGGCCAAGTGGGTCAGTGGGCCCATTGTTTCGGGCCAATCTCCGGTCTGGTCCTCGCTCCGCTGAAAGTTCAATGCCGCGGCAACTGCACGCCAAGTGCATTAGCTGAGCCCATAAACATTGATAAGAGGGCGATAAGGAGACATACCCACTCCCAGTTCCCCTGCCAGGGCTCCGATCCCATACCGATCCGCATTCCCCGGGCAAATTGTAGCACTCATAATTTGTTTTTGATTGCCTGGCACTTTAGCTGGCCCCTCGGACCTAAGCAAACCGAAATATAAATCCAAACAAGTGCTCTCTGCGCCGTCTAGGGGACACTCGAAGCGCCGGGACAAACAGAACAGGACCAGGCACCAGGGACGAGGCAAAAGCCGGGGACCGGGACCGGGAAGGGACCAAAGACCTCAACCTGGGCCCATCTTTCCTTTTTGTTTTGTCGGCATCTTTTACTTTTTGCCGGCGCTTCCGTAGCTGCATCGAGAGATGCAAATGGGAATGTCTGACAGAGTACACTCAGCACAAAAATTGGGGCGAATTAATAACAATAATAAAGTAATATAAATTATATATTAAAGAAATTATATGAAACTTAGAATTCTTGGTCTTAGACTTTCAAAAGGACAGCCAATACAAGGAAACTTTGTGAACTTCAAGGATTTTGATTCCAAATTTTATGTCTTAATAATATTCCAAAAATTTCGTTTAATCCTTCATTGTTCTCGGTGCATCTTCGAGGGGAATGGAATTGAGAATGGCTCTGCTCGAAAGCCTTTTGACAATATTTGCGCGCCCTGACAATAAAACGCAAAGTGAAGTCTTGAACTGCAGCTCCTCCATCTGTCGCATGTTTGTGTGTTTGTGCCTGTGCGGCGGGTCATTTAAATTTCATGCTAAATCAAAAATTCTTGTGTTTATTATTTGTTTTGTGCCCTGTCTGTTTCGGCTGCGGTTCTCCACTGCCTTTCCTGTTTGTCTTTGCGTTCTAGTTCATTTCAGCGGAGCTGAGCTGCCTCTCCTTTTGTTGTCAGCCAAGAAGGCGCCCTTGCTCTCCTCCATCCTGCATCGATTGCAGGCGGCATCCTTTGTGGCCTGCACACAGGATGTCGATTACATTTGTTTACTGCACTCGGCGCACTATAATTTCCCCCGCGTTTAATGAACAGGTGACCACCACTCTCAGATCCCTGAGACTTTGGAGACAAACATGGCCATCCCCATGTTTCTGGCATTTAATCTCAGAAGCGCATCACCAGATTTACGCTCCAGACAAGATCAAAGCGTCAACTTAGCATTCAGCAGGCCACCAATCAGCTGAACTGGCCAATCCACTCGAGATCTCGAGATGCCAGTGGATATCCCATCCAGTTGCCTTGAGTGGGGTCTCGAGTGGCTAACTGGAGTAATAGCCGCGTTGATTTGCATTGAGTTCTAAAGGTGCTGGGATTTATTTTCTTAAAAAAAAATTACACCAGGCACTGCCACATATCCCGAGCTTAAGCTGACTATGTAGCTGTACAAATGTTGCCAACAATGTTGCGTTAAGGGGATTAGCCCAGCTAAGAGCCAAGGTCTGGACAACCCTGACCACTCCTGGCAGTCAGATAAATAAGCGATAACATTTTAATGACCAGGCCTCAGCCAAAGATCGTGGGTGAAGGTGCTGCGGGATGGGAATAGGGATTGGGATAGGGGATAAGGATGGCTCTCCAAGTCTGGGGCATTACTCAATCAGCAGGCCATAAATGCAAGCTGATTAATGCAACTGCCAGCCCGACGACAAGTGCAACATTTCCGGTGACAATGATGGGGTCTTGAAAGCACAACAAAAAATTTTGTTAAAATATTTGGAATATTCGCAAGATATAAACAAACATATTCCACAGATTTTTTACTTAGAAGCAATCTAAAAATCTTATTTATTACATTATATATTATATAGATTAATTATCTACTTTACACAAATATTTCTCAGTGCAGTCGGCTGTTGCAGATGTTGGCCAGGCAGACGACGTCATGCAGTCTGTGTGGATCACGGAGTGGCAATCAAACGGAGGCCACATTTAGGGGTCTGCGACAATGACAAGTGTCAAAACGCAGGTTGCACTCATTCAAATTGGCATGATTTACGTTCGCCCCGGCAGATACCAGATACCAGTTCCAGATCCCACTCCATCCAGCTCCTGTCATCCGCTGGATGCGACTATGGCCATGTGGCAGTGTGGCAATATGGCAAATTCCAGCAGCACTTAACAAGCCGCTGCCGAGGGCGAATGACAAACAGCAGCGCGGATCGGAGACAAGATTCTGACAGGGACCCAAAGGGACTGGGAGATCGGAGATCTGGGATGAGGCAACTAGCGATCCGATCCGATCCCATCCCATCCGATCCGATTCGGATTCCAGAGTCGGGGGCCGAGGGTCGCCAGCGTCTCATGTTGTCCATGTTCATCGCCAAGTCGCCGCCATTTGGTGTGCATGCAAAGTGTTGAATAATTTGTTGCGAAATATTTCTAGATACATGTCCACCTAACCAATGTGTCGCAGAAGGAGAACTGTTTGTGGATTAATAGTTTAAATTATATAGAAAATTTGTAAGTAATATTTGGTAAATAAAAACATTAGTTATTAGAGGATTAAAGACTTTAAATCTCAAATATTTAATACAATAGTTTACTCTAACCTTCCTGGTAATTTTGTCTGGTGTACCGTGGTAGTTAGTGTGCAACAACTGCAACATCAGCAGCAGCAGCAGCAGCAGTTGTGACTGCGTTGCTGCGTAATTAAGTGGGCGACAGTCTGGTAAATGCAAATTTCTTGGCCTTGTCGCGCCGCTCGCGGCAGGACATGGCCGAATGCAGATGCTGGATGGCGATAACTGGGACCGATAGCTGGGCGCGATGTCGCTGCTCCTTGTAGACGGCGATAAGAGCTCGCCTATGATCTATGATCCTGACCTTGGTTGAATGCAGAATGCGCATACGCAGTGTTGCACACGCTTAATTAAAATGTCAAAACTGGTTTAATGGCGCTAATGAACGAACAGCGCTCGGTTCGTTAGTTTGACAATATTCTCTGTGTGTGTGTGTGTGTGTGTGTGTCTTTTGCCCCCAGAAATACCTGGGATTCCTTGGCATTGCTCTGTTTTGATCTGCTTGGCGATCTGGTCTTTGATTTATCGCCCAGTGCCCAGCGAATAAAAGCTGCCGCCAGCCAGTAAATGGAAAACGGAAAATGAAAAGTTTTCCCCATTGCCTTGACAGTTTGCGTAGCGGCCTTTGATTTATAGAAATCAAAACGCCGTCCGCTGGCTAATGCATTGTTGAGTTCGTTATCGAGACGGTAAAACTATGCCGAACAATTGTTGAGTATGTTGCATAACTGATCAAGGCTTTCGATCAGCATAAATGGTTTGGTTTACAATGCCAAAATGTTGGCTATAATTTGGTAAATCGTTAGGATTTAGTTCTGCGGATATTAGTCCTATTTTGAATATTGTAAATTAAGCAACTATTATATTTAAATTGTTCAAATAAGTTCTCCCCCTTTCATATTTTATTGGCTCAAAATGTACTCATCTGTGAAGAATCCTATGCCTTTCAGCTGCAACAACAAATGGCGCCGCTTTTACACAACTACACCAAGAGAAATAAATAATATCTATTATTTACATTACTTTTGTATATATTTTAAAACAATCCTACTTTGACGAACATTTTTCTCTGTGCAGCCAGCCAGCCTCCTCTTGGGGGATCGCTCTTGTCTGCAAAGTTGCGTGATTTATTTGGGCGGCTCGGGTGTTTTTTGCTCTTTGTGCGCTGCGCTTTTTATTATGGCGAAATTTTGTATTTTATTATTTTTATTGGTGCGCACTCGAGTGGATTTCGTGGCCTGGAGTGGAGCACTGCAGTTGGGGGGGCCAGGCCAACGGGCTCCACCCGCACCCCTTTCGGCCCGAAGGAGGCGGCCCAGCGCCTGTAAACACAACGGCAACGGGAATGCATATCCAGTATATGTGCATTTATTATTTTACTTGGCCTGCTCGCATTTTGCAGCAACGATCTGTAGACACAATAAATTACCAATTATATTTTCATTTCATATTTCTGTCATTGATTTCGCTGCCAGACCGTATTCAAAGGAGGGTGCAGGCGGCTCTGGCGAATGAATACTCATATTCGATGCCAGGGACAATTTGCTTTATCAATCAAGGGAACTGAATTGACGGAACGAGATGGAACCTACTCCATATTTTAATTACAACTCACAGACTCCAGATAAATTAGTTACTCTCCTTCCATGTTACAGGCACTGTATATAAAGGACCCTTTGCTTGGGCTTTTGATTAGTCAGGCTGAGACAAATAAATAAATATAAAACAAAATGAATTCACTTTAATTCTGACAACTGTCATATGGAGTATTATATAGTACATATGTATAAAAAGAAACTCAGTCACATTTAGTTAAACTAGATACCTATATTTAGCTTTACATACATATTTCATTCGACGCCATAAACATATAATTTATTTATCCAACCCTACCGAGTCTACGTATCCTCCTTGTTGAGTGATCCAAGGAATAAAAGTGAGTTGTAGACAGTGACCACGACCATACCTGGTGAAGGGTCAATTTGGAATATTATAGTGACTTTTTAAAAACTTCTCAGGCTGTCTTACATATATATACGATTAGAAATATCACATCCGTCGCTTTCGTAAGGTCCGTTTCATAGTCCCAATAGCCTCGCAATATGAGACAATGTCCAATGACCACTAGCAATGTCGAAGGTAGAATAATCACAAGCCACACCCACACTGGTATAACCATATTCTGAAAACAGGTATTGCAATTTACTTTACTATTTACTTTGCTTGATATAAAAACTATAGCACTTACCAAGGCAGCCGCAAAAATCAGGCAAAAAGCGGCTATAATTGAAAGGACCAGGCCCGCAAGAAAGATAGAATGGCTAGTGTCATATGTTCCGTCTGTGACAAAAGGACGCAGTTAAGGACTTTAGAATTTGAAGTGGAAGAATATTTACTCCAAAAGATAAGGCTCATAGACACAGAACATATTATTATTATGCCGATGCCACCAAAGATGCAGTGCACCCGATTAGGAATTCGCATACAAAAGCACATTTTCAACCAACGAATTTCTAAACAAAGACAAACTGGAATTTTTTTACTCAACTTTGAATAAATTTCTACAAAATGTGAAAGAAAACTCAAGCATAGCTGCGGCTTTCGAACAACCAAATCTATCAAAGAAATCTACCTAACTATATAGATATATAACTAATTTACGATGTATTCGATTTACCACTAGTGACATTTGAACCATAATGCAATATAAGGATTTCCTTATTTTCATTTAGAAATACTTCAGAGATATATCCCCAAAGGCAATACAGTTGTCAATATGTAACAGAAAATTCCAACTCTGTGAAACCATAGGAATATAATTATAAACTATTGCTTAATACTTAAGAATAAAAATCTAAATGTCATTATTTTATGATATAAACTGTATTTTTCCTAGATTTCTTTTCCCTTCAAGTTCACTAAACTGTTTTGCAGAAAGGAATAAAGTAACTTTAATGAAGGCAAGCAGCCGGAAAAGTGCAATCTTAACCGAAAAGCCAAGCCAACCCCGGGGCTCAGTTGACTGGGGAAAAAGCGCGAAAATCCCTTTGTTAGACTGTTTTTATTTTCGTCTGCCGCCGGAGACCGTCCATATTTATTTCCTTTGTCGCCCTATAAAGCCGGGCCAGCTGGCTTTGTGCAGAGCCCGTTGCCACATTAAGACCCCGTCCAGCGACACGGCCTGCCTGGAAATCAAAAGTCGCTCCCCCAAAGTGTCTAGGAAATTGTGCATGCATTAAATAAATGAAACTGCCGGACGGACAGAGTGACCAGGGGTCGGGACGAAACAGAGCCGAGGGTCCATGTTCAAATTAAAATGGGAGTCGAAGTCGATTGGGGGTTAAATTAAAAAAATGAAATCTTATTTGGGCTGGGAGGTTCTTTAAAAAATATATCTTGGAATGAAAAGATTAAAAACCTAAGGGTTGCAAGGCTATCAGAAGAAAGGTTTTCAACTTAAATGAAATAAATAAATTAGATTAAGCAAACTTATAACTAAATGTCTTACATGGCTATTCTAATTTGAAGGCTCACATGTTTTGTTAATTAGGCCTTTGTCTTTCGCGGAGGGCCCCTCGGGGATAACGACCTCCAATACAGTCTGGATAACGCTTCTGCATTTCTCCCGTCTTGAGCTCGCGAACCAATAGCCACGATAGGTAGACCATATACAAAGTCCAAACTGGTGAAGGGGTTTATCGGGTTTTTGATAGATTTATCAGCTACTCGAAATTTCTAGCTTGCTTACTTATGACCAGGATCATCCCTATTATTTTCCGCGCCTTCTCATAGTCGGTAATGTAGTACCAGCTTTTGTGCAGTATGAGACAGATTATGACGACAACTATGAAGACCACAGGACAAGCCAGAAGGGTCCAGACCAGTACTAGGGGGTGCTTTCTCTAGAAATACATAGGCAATTCAGGACCTTCTATGCAAAAAGCAAAACTTACCAGAACAGCGCCCAATAGTAGACAAAATCCAGCTAAAGTTCCAAGGCTCAAGGCACCTAAAAGGATAGAACGAAGAACACCATAGCGTCCCTCTGTGATGCAGAAAAGGTTTCAGAACTTCTGTAATTATTAATTTACGAGAATAGTCACCACAACAGACAAAGCCTATACAGGTGACACAGAGTACTATTTCAGCGATGGCCCATATGATGCACTCCAGTCGAATGGAAAGATTATTTGAATTTTTGCACATTTTTTCAACCCATAAGTATAAAATATAAATGAATTTACAGTGATTTTGACATATGTCAAACAAAATACATACAGCAATCTTTAGTTAACTTAAAGTAATAGATCGAAAGTTAAGAAATAAATAAATTAACATCATTTCTATTTTATATAATTTTATTCCATTAATTTTTCAGAGTAAAACCATTTCCATGCCAGAAAATCAACAAATTATTTACCCCTCCCAATTATTTGCAGCATTTAATTGCCAGGACCAATTATAAAGTTGAGCAGAAGAAAAAAAATCAAGGGACCAAAACTAGTCGAAAACTCCGGTAAAACCAAAAGCCACGTCGATGGGCCCAGCAGGTAACTCAATCTGGGCAGCTCGGCTTTAAGGGGTGGTAATTATACTTGCCAATTTTCATGGTTCACAGGAATTTGCGTATTTTCTTCGTTGTTTTTTTTTTACTTTATTTTTTTACCATAATTTGCTGCTCTTGTTTGTCTGCCATTTGTCCTGGCGCACAAATTGCGAATTGAAAACTTCGGAAACTAACGGCAATTAAAGTATTTCTCCTTGAAACCGAAACCCAACCCCACAGCACCCGCCCAGAGGAAAACCAGAACCCGAAACTTGGACTATTTGGCTGACTGTGCGTGTAATTATAATTTTCTTTAAGTCGGTTTGCGCAAACTTTTCTTTATGTCAAAGTTTCCTTTCCCCCTGCCTCCCCCCCACCAGCCTGTTTCCGTTTCCCTGTATCTGTGCGACCACAAATAATTTTGTGGAAAAGTTGAAGTTCGCCCCCTTTGCCCCCTTTTGCCGGAATTTTCCTGATTTTTTTTCCATGTTGTTGGTAATTATGCTCTTTGTGAGACGCGGCAAAGTTTCGGGTACATCGTCTGAGTGTATTAGTTGTAATGTGCTTCGGTTAGCCCAAGGAAGCGAACAAGTTGCCAAACTTATGACAACAATAACGGCGGAAAACAAGGATCCGAGCTGGAGCAGGACTCACTGAGGAGCGAGAAGCATGTTTATATTTTGGGAGCTCACCTCTCGGATTGGCCGTGGGTCCTTTGGCTAGACAATGTGTCTTATTAGTAAACTTTCCAATGATTTCCATTCATTACAAGTTCGGCCGCAAATTTTCAGCTAATCACGTTGCTGATGAATGGAACTGCAACTTTATCAACAGTGTTCGGCCATAATTGTGTTACCTGCTGGAAAACTCAAATGATGAGTTGATGGATTATATTGCAGCTCGTAGAGATGGTAAATTGTGAATGGAAGTCCGAGGCATAGAAAAGCCAATTAAATAGGTAAATAGATGTACAAAACAAGTCTATATTTTTCACCTCCAATATCAGTTTAAAAGTGCTTCAATTATGCTTAATAAATGTAATCCGACCAAGGTGATGACCATAAGGGTCAACCAATAGCACTTACTTAAGACATGTTATTCTATTTTTTACCTTATCAGACAGAAATTTCTGCCAGGAGACACGTACATACATATAAGAAACTTCACATTTCCAGCACTTTTGCTTTAATTTCAAAACCCTTATTGACATTAAATTCCAAGCCTTTGCTGTTTTTCATATTTCGCATATAAATGCACCAATGAAGACCATCTTACATATATTACGAAAGCGAATTTTAGGTTTCCAGCACTTAGCACCGACTCACGACTTGTCCATTTCGGCTAATGGCCAGTTATAAGGCCAGATATATAGCTGAATTCGACCAACATGCAGCTCCCTTTGAGCATTTTATGGGATTACTCAATCAAACATGTGCAAGGGAATCTCAGGTAACGAGAAGTCAACCTTGCTAGCAAATAAATCTCAATTAAACTGAGAAAGCGTTGCCAATTAAATGGGAAATTTGGTTTACAGCATGGAATCGATGTCTGGTAATATAGTTCCTTTTAAAAATGGCAAAAACATAAGCTGAAATATCTCTGAACAACTAATTGTGGCTCGATACATATATTTTCCATTTTTTTTTTTTGTAGCTCTGATATACCAACATTCCACTGACGCAATGCTAATTCGAATGCAGACCCTCGAACATCCTTGAGAGTTATGCAAAGCAGGAGCCGCCGACTGCGAAATGTGTTTTCACTTTTGTTCGTTTATCAAACGGGTGTCGGGCTGACTGGTTTGCTGGTTTGTTGTTGGCAAGGCGCCATGGTCCAACTGCAATATGACCAACGGCAACAAATAGCTGACAGTAACAGCCATGGATACAGCTGAAACCTGAAAAGGACCCGGAGCAAATTCACGACTCGCATATTGAAAACAAAAACTGCAGTCTGAGCCACACGTGATGGGGGATTTTGTGATTGTGTTTATGGTGTGGCTACAGGGATGTAGGCACTGCAAGAAAATGTCGTATAGATTTCTGAATTACTTTTCCAGCAAAAAAGAAAATATATATTAAAAAAATACAAGGGGGTGAATGAGGTATCAAGATATTCTTATTAGAGCGCCATTTTCCTTACAAAACACACTCAAAAACCTATCAATTAGTTTAACTATATCCTTTTCCTATTAGTTAACATTAGTATTTCCCCCTCAGTAATTTATTATATCATTTAATTTGTATAAAATCTAATTCCCCCAGTGTGCATGTATAGAGTGCAGCTGCCCCAACTGCCGCATCCCTCGCTCCTTCCAGCAGATCCCTTGATGTGAAGCGAAGTGAAAATGAAAACAAAGTTTAACAAACCGTGGCTAACGAGCTACATTATTAAAACTTCAAAAATGCATAAATTTGCCAGAGACGAGCGGTGCGGACTGTGGCATTATAATAATATAATGCATATCCTGGGCAGGCATTTGAAAGTTATTGACACCTTCTCCTCTCTCTCTCTCTCTCTTTCCAGTCGTGACGCGATCGAGACCCACTCCTCCGGCTCGAGGTGTTGCCAAACTCCGAGCCCACCTCTCCGCCACCGGCACGATCTGTCTCCACTCCCACTCCCGCTGCCAGACTCAGGCCCAGTCCAGGTCCAGTCAAAGCCAACTGGAACTCGAGTTCGCGACTCGGCTGCCTAGTGATTCTGCGCATATTAGTTGGCCATTAGGCGCACACCATTGTCAGCCGAATCGCATTAAAATGCAGGCAGTGTTAAATATTACAAGCGCCCCTCGCAGAAAGGCGAAAAGGTTTCGCGCTGATTTGCAGCTGCCACTCGAGATGTGGCCAGAGGAGGGCTCGGGCTCGGGTCTCGCGGGGATCATCGGTTCGCGGAGGAGCTTGTGAAATGTTGTGGCTACGTGATATGTTAATCCCGGCGCTCTAGCCAAGTCGTGGAGTGCCTGGGATGCGGATGTTTTGGCAGGCACAAAAACACATGTTGGATGGAAAATTAAATGAAGAAATTCCTTAAAAAGATATGGTAATTTTCTAGGACTTTTTAAAAGAGCAATTCAGTTCTTGGCTAGTAAAAAATAAACCAAGCGAGTGGCTAATGCTCAATTCAAAACTTTATTTATAACGCTCTTGTGCTAGTTACTATTTCATCATATTGATACTGATATCCTTGGCATTTTGTACCACCAGAACTGTGATCTTGGCATCCGGGGTGATGAGAACCTCGTGGTATTTGGTGCGCACTCGCAGGAATGTCAGGGTCTGGGCTGGCTCCATTTTAGCCAGGAACGCCTGGCACTTCTCCCGCAGATTGTCATACAGACAGGCATATTGCAGCCCCTCCTGGCGATCCATTGAGGTTTTCACCGGCACACCGGAGTGGTTCATTATCAGGATGTCCTCCACACCTGGCTTGGCTAGAACTTGACGGTACACCTCCTCTACATATGTCTTGGTGCGTTTTCCCTGTGCGATCTTGTAGAGAATTTTAAATTTACTTTATATTTGTTATGTTTTCAGACTCACCTCAGTTTCTGGTGCCGGCATTTTTCTTAAAGTTTTTTGAGACCTTTACAGAAACTCAGTTTTTTAAAAGTCAGAATGCTCGTGGTTTCCTACGTTTTCAGTTTAAAACTCCTGACAACACTGGAGATTTTACGAGACATTAAATAACAATAATCGGTCTGCAGTTAGATTTTTATGAAAACGAAGCAAGAGGACAATAAATTCTCCCAAGGAAGCGTATTCCTTGTGACGTCATAATCACGGACATTAGATGATTTAGCCACGATGCCGAGCAGGGCCAAATTAGCCGGGAATTATTTGCTAGAGTTTGCCTTAAATCGGCGACGAACTATGATCGGCTGCTAACTCAACCGGCTGAGACGGCCCACTTTCGGAGGAGCTCGCTCCCAGAGCATAAAGTGCAATTATAGCGGTGCAACGGCGAACAGGGCCATGAAATACCAACACCCGACAGCTGTAAACAACAATTTGCCGCATCGCATCGCAAACCCCACCAAATGCCAATAACTCGCCGGGGAAGAGCGCTTATAAAAAAAGTTATTTAAAAGCCCGGCCAACCACTCCGCTGGAGTCCCAGCCAATCCAATCCAATCCCATCCAACAATGGCAAATGATGATGAGACGTCCGCGGCCACGTCCACGTCCACGTCCACGTCCACTTCCACGACCGAGACCAAGTCGTTTCAGGTTAAACGCTGAGCATTTTGGCGCAAAAACTAGAGGCTGGAGACTTGAATGAAAATACCCCAACGGGAGAGCCGAACGTAATGAGCGAATTTATGGTCAATTGATAATTTAGTAGCACTCGGTATCATCAATTACGGAGCGTACCGATCCGACTACGACTGTGGAGCCGACTCCGAAGATGAGGCATTGTTATGACCACCGATGTGGCGCAAATTGTGCTAAATGCCTCGGCCAACCCTACGCAATAACCGGCCGAAAAGCACACGAAGATAAAATATATATTTATGTGGGCATCATCGGGAGCCTGGCCATATTTTATATAATTCGACTGTCAACCATTGGCCAAAACATAAGGCTCAACAACTGGGTCAAAAGGTTCGCCTGGACTCGAAATCTCGCCGTGCCTCCGTTTGGGGACAAACCATACACAGTCCAAAATAATGTGCCATTAATTCTGAGGAACATTAAGAGGAAACACAGACTTTTGTGTATCTTTTTGTCATATAATCTTTGAAATACTTGTTGAGATTCAAACAAGCGGATATTTTATATTTTTAAATCCATTTTACTTTGATATTGGTTTTATATTAAATAAATATTAATTATTGTCCTAATAATATTACATTTTTTTTCCGTGCTCCTTCACTGCCTAGGCTTTGTTGCCTCGCAATTCAAGTCGCTAATTGAACGCTTTGTCTGACACATCAAATAAATCACACAACTTCCAGCTTGCACCTTGCAGGCCCATTGGAACCGCGGCCCGAACCAACTGCACGTCGCCATGTTTATGCCAATAATATGCCATAAAGTATAGAAAGGAGCCGGCACAATGGAGCGGAGTGCACATGGGTCCAAAAATGGCTGGCTGTGGCGAGGAACCGAGGAGCGGCTTCCTCTGATAAACTTTATGACATCGGAGGGAAGTGGCAGTCCAGCCACTTTGTCAGCGGCCATGGCCATCCCGGTCCCCGGATCCCCAGAACCCCGCATTCCCGTAACCCCGGAACCCTGCCGGAACCCCCCCTTCTTTCCCTGGTCCTTGAGCACGGCGCTAAAGTTTAAGCATTGCCCCAAACTTTACGCACAAGTTGCACACATAATTCACGTCGCGGCCCCGCTCCTCTTGGCGTAATTATTGGCCAGGAGCCGGAGTCTCGCTGGGCATGGGTTGTTGTGTGTTGTATGTGAGTGCATTAGAGGCAACCACAAATTGTTTGGTTTGGTTTGGTTTAGCGCAAATTGTAGTCGTAACTTCTTCGCGGCTGCCGTCAGCCGGACGAGCCGGCTTATGATGGCCCGAGTGCATCTCGTTTGGCAGCCGGAATTCGGTAAAGGTTAACTCGACCGCTGAACCGCCGTCTCTATTACGGCGTCATTCGATCGGTTTCGTGTAATGATAGCCTATTAACAAGATTCTAGGGACCTTTAAGGAATTATAATCAGTGGTAATGGAGAAACATTGGTGCCTAAAGTTAGGCAGTCAGTAGGTTTCCAAGAAGATTACAAACTCTATTAAACTATACAACATGAACTGGGCATTTATTAAAAATTCTTAAAAAAATAATGAATTGCTTAAAAAATAAATATACTACATATTTCCACAAGATTGTAAAGCTCTAGTATTACTTTAATTGCACCTCATAGAGCCTTGGCCCTTAGGGGCGCCTACTTCCCTCGTTTGTGGCGGCAACTGCCGCAAATCCCACATCAATCAAGGTGTCCGTTGCCCCCAAACAACTTCTATACTATTACGTAATACGTATCAACAACTAATATATCAACAATGGCCGGTACCTGCAACTCTGGGCAAATTAAAGCCGGCTTAAGTAACCGCTAAGCACAGCGGCCCAGGCCCACATGCAAATTATATCGCCCATTAACCGGCCAAGTCAATTGCAGCCTGGTGAAGGCAAGATCCCAAGGGATAGTACATGAATGTTAAAGGTTTTAGGTTTAACGGTTTATTCGACTTAAAACTTATGGTAAGACTTCATTACTTTACGGGTAGAGTCTTTTGGAACTACTTTCTCCACTAAGAAGAAGTCAAAACTAACCAACAAAATTTCTAGTTATATTTTATAAAGGAATCTTAACTTTAATTAATTCTTAAATAGATTCTTAAATATTCTTCGATATGCAATCACACCTTATGCTTTTAATATTTACAGATATACCTAGACCTTGCAAGTAATCTATTTTTTCCCATTTTCCTGAAATTGGGTATGAAAAATACAAAAAAATTCTAAATTTACAACCAATGTTCTCAGTTTACCTATTCTACAAAAAGCGTTGCATGCCATATAATACATATAATACCTAGCAACGCGCACGGAACCAGCAGCAGCACTCACACATGCCGCGCCAGGACACCTGTGTCCAGCCAGGCAAAAGGTGACGACGAGGGCCTGGACAAACTTCCGAGGCAGCAGGATGTGTCCCTCGTTCTCTGCATTGATTTCAAATTTCCTAGGAAGTAGCGCGGAAACTTGTTAGCCTGCCACTGCCCCCCGCTTAGCCCCTTTGCGCCCGCACATAATTCGCTTTGCATGCAGTTTGCAAAGCCCGGCCCGGCCCGGACTATTACGCTGGCAAATTGCAATGTAATTAGCTTTTACATTTCTATATAGTCGGGGAACGTATAATTGTGGAAAATGGCATTTCTAGTTAATTAATGGCCAGCGCCCAGCCTTCGACTGCCACCCACTGGGCAGAAAAGTTTCTGCACATTTGTTGCCGCTTTAACAAAACGAAAGCAAAAACAAAAAAAAATCAAAAGTGCAACGCCCACTGTCAACCTTCGGCAAGTTGGTTTCAATTGCTTGAAAATTTAATTAAAATTCTAGCATTTTTGTGTACGCAAAAAAATCATTTAACCGACTGGGTTTTGGCAGGATGCTCCTTCGAATCTCAGTCCCAGCCACAAGCTGTTGATTCAATTACAAATATGTTTGATTAAAATTTTATTTTCAATATGCACATGTCCCTTTTGGTGGACATGAAGACAATTCCTTTACAACAACAATTAGATTTTTAGTGACCAAGTCAACATTGTATTTAGACATCAGAAATTGTATTTATATTTGTATATAGAAAACAATTTCATCTTATTCACATTACTCTTTCTGTCATTTTTAGTTTTGTGTAATTAGAACAAGCTAAATTATTGAAATGTGCAAAGGACTGACTCGCAAGGGCTTTTGTTATTTAACCATAGGCATGACCTACTCGGCTGGAGTGGTAGAGATATCCCACGGATTCTCGAATCTGAGTAAACGTTCTTAGATTGTTACACTTACCACATAATGTCACTTCTGGCCTAGATAAAGACGCACCAATGGCATATAAAACTCTGCTGAAGGCCGTGATCATCACCTGGGTCCTCATACTGATTGTGGGCATATTCCTGATTGTGGGCACATGTCTGCCAGATTCTCACAGAAGAAGTAAACGCGTCCTACTTAGGATCTGGGTATTCTTTGCTCTGGTTTTCGGAGTCGCAATTTCATGTATTAAAGTAGCGACAGTCGTACACCAATGGCAAGAATATGGAATAGAGAGAAATATAGTGCGTTCGTTGGTGATTTGTTTTTTCCTAGGTGAGCAGAATATATTCAAAAGCATGTTTCTAATGCTAAGCAAACATATTTTTTTCAGTATTACTAGTTTTCATGATGTACTTTCCTTGTCAATATGTTCAGGAACTGGAAGACGAAATTGATTTCTAATAAATGTTGTTATCATTTTAATACATATATACATATGTATAAGGACACCTTTCTAATTTTTCATTGAGGGAAGAAGCATTTGCAAGCTTTGTTAAATCTATTTTTATGGATAACATGACAGGAAAAGGCTCACAGATGGCCTCAATTCCAGTCAATTCACAGATAATATCTATTTTTATCTGTAGATAGATGCTAGAAAATATCTTTTCAAATCTATTTTTATTATTCACCTCATGGCAGTCCCTGACTGGGAAACAAAAATTTGCATAAAATAACAGAGGCAAAATAAAAATGGGTGAAAACAAATCAAATCCCAACCGCAAATAGAAAGTGAAAATCAAACGAGAAACGCTACCGTTTATTTCAGCTCTTTGTGTTTATTTAGTCGGGCGTCTAATTTAAATAAACATTTATTTGTACAAAGGCTGTGTAATGCGCCTGGCAAATGACTTCCTGAATTGGGCCCAACTGTTGGCCGAGTTGCATAATCGGTGGGACAAATGCAGCGGCGGCTGTGGCGGTTATGAAATCCTTCGCTCACAGCGGCCAAAATCCAGCTGAAAACACGAGCGCGGAGACGCCACCAAGCTGGCAGCAACCTGTCGCATATTTAAAGCGATTAACGGCACGATTTCGGGCTGCAGCAGCAGCAGCAGCAGCAATACGGTGGCAAGGCCTCAGCGGAGAAATTGAAATTGAAATGCTTTTGGCAGTGCCAACACTCTTTGGCCTGGTGCTAAGCCACTGCCAGTCAGCGGGATTGGAGTATTTTCGACTTGTTTTTAGCTCTGTCCATATGGATTACAGGGTTTTTTAAAAAACTTCAAACTGTTTTGTAACTTAGAAATGTATTTTATGTATTCTAAATCTATTTATTTTGAGGTTTAATCAATTATCGCTTAGGGAAATCCTAATTGAAGCCCCTGTTTTCCCATATCCTATATTTCTATTATTGAATATTTATAATATTTGATTGCTTTGAAGCCATAATTTTCAGCAGTTTTAAAATAAAGAACCAAGTTAATATCTTTACAGACAAAAATCAATTAAAAATGTAATTTAAAATTATATTCCCTAATCCAAAAAAAAACCCTTTAATTAAATTTAAATTAGTCTTTAAATTTTCAAACAGAGTACTCCGCGTTCAATAATTCAGTTTGCTCTTGCAGCTGTAGATTTCCTGTACTCTTTTTATTTGTAGGGAACTCGTGTCTGTAGTGCCACGAATACAAAAACAAAAAAAGGGGAAAAACTTGGAAAACGTTTGTAAATACTTTCAAAGCATTTCCAGCGATGGAACAAATACAAAATGGCCAGCGCAGCGGCTGCAATTGGAAATTGTGAAAAATAAAAAAAAAATAAAATAAAATAAAATATATTGGGCGCAATCCTCGACTTGCAGCATACTTGGCATAAGCCATTGTTGTTGCTGCTGCGGTGCCGCCGGTTCCCTGAATCATGAATGACCTATAAATAAAGTTGGCAGCCAAACAACTGGGCCCAGAAATGGCAAACAGCGTGAATTGTGCAATAAAAAAAAGCATAATATGAATATAACAACCGCAAGAGCCAGATATTCAATTGGGTTTTCCCTCCCTTTTCTCTGTTCGATACCATTCCCGTTTTCCAGCTAACCCTTGACCTTACTAGTTTTCTGGGCAGTTCCAGCTTGTTAGTTTCTCTTAATTCGTTGTTTAGCTATAGTTTTTTTTTGGGGTAACCTTATTTAGGAAAGGCCCTGTGCCAAAAGTTACACTATATTTTCAAATTTTCTATAAACAATTGCTTAACTTGTACAAAAACTAGGAGAGAAGGTTAGTAAGGATCTATACTATACGATTACCATTCCCATTTCCGTTTCCGCCACCCGACTGACAGCATTTTGTGACCCTCCGTCCGAGTGGCCAACAGAAGCTTTTATCAGCTCCGATTACATACTTTAAGGCAGCTAAATTGTCACTTTAAAGCAGCGGAGTCAAGTGGATGGACACCTGAGAGCCGAGTGTGGAACGTGCAAAGCGGGCTGGCTGGATGCTGTGGCTGCCACACCGCAACATTGTTGCAAGAAACCACCGAAACCCATGGAGGGCAGGAGGACAGGCAGGCGGTCGGGCGGGTGTTTCTAACATCCACTTCCGAGTGCCACGAGCGTAAGCTAACTCAACTTAAATAAATTTAATTTAATTACCAGTAAAAACCGCATGAGTAACTTCAGCCCGAGATGAGAGAGAGCGTAGCAGACTGTCGTTATCCAGCCAGCTCTTGGATATGGAGCACCGGGCAGATGGATACCTGAGCTCACCCACTCGGTGTTTATTCAGGAAATAACATTTTTGTGGCAACACATTTTTGGATTTTATTACAGAGTCCTCTCACTCTCACTCTGCTTTGCCACTCTTGAGTGCTGTTCTCCGTTGAGGTCAACATGCATTTTATCATTTTAAATAGCAAAATAGCAAAATGGGAAACCGTGAAGTGGGTTTTGGGGGGGGGTAGATGGTGAGGGGGCACACTCGACACTCGACGATAAATAACCTTAATGTAGTGCCGGGCGCCAGCAGCAGCCCTTTGCCTTGGTTACATGTTTAATTACGAGCAGCGCGATCTCAAAGCATACTTTCAGGCGGCGCTGAAAAAAGTGCTCGAGAAAGTGTAGTAGAAAAACGGGCTGCCAGGCCAGTCGAGTATGAGAGTGTGTAGAGAGTGTATCTGTGTGCCACCGAGCCGCGAGTGTGTGTCAGTGTGTGAGTGAGCAAGGTCAAGACGGCGATTATAATGCAAATTGGCCTAGCTGTGTTTGCACATGTCGGCAAATACTTGAGCGACGGCTCAGCGGTCCTTGAGACGGCGAACTAACCCGCACAGGGAACACTTTTGCCAGGACTCTCGGAAAGGACTCGGTGGTTATTATACAAAGAGCGCATTGCAGGTTGAATTAAGTAACTAAAAACACACATATTAAATTATAAATATATATATTTTTTTTTTTTATTTAAAAAGTTTTATTTTGTACATTTATTACAAGTTTTAATTTAAGTGCGCTGCGATTTTATTCCACAAGCTCCTCCATTTTAGATCAGCTTTAAGGCACCAACGAAAACTGAAGCTGAATAATGGATGAACATAAATTCAACGGGAGAGACCACATTAAATCGACCATAGTGTGTAAGTATGTGTGTTTCCATGCACATCTTAGAGTTGCAGATCCTTTTGTGTAATCTGGCTTAAGCGCTGCTTAAATGCATTCCGGAAATCGTTGGCCCGCCCAGCCTTGGGAAAACCCATCCAACCCCCCTCTGCCACTGTCCCGTTGCCTGGTAACCTAGTTTAATAAATAAATCGCAGTTTTTTCGTGCTTTAGCCTCCGTTGCCGTTGCCGTCACCATCACTGTCCCACCCCCCAGGACTCCTGTGTCTCTTTGTCTTCGGCAAGTCATTCATGTGTGCAATCTGTGGGTGTGACTAATTCAATTACAACGCCCAATTGTGCATGCCTGGGCGACCCGCTCGCCTGCCCAGTGCTCCCGATCCACCCCCTTTTTGGCCTTCTCCCTATCCTAACCCCTCTCCACACAGCCACCGCTGTCCCGTGATTTTTCATTTCATTTTCACGCTTTCACCGTGCATGTGCAGGTAGTATATGGTAGTACAGTGAACGCTAGAATAGAAGAACAAAATATAACATCCTGAGGCTTAAAAAAAGGTAAGGAATCTTAAAAAATGTATATTTTATAAATTAAACGGATACTTTTGATGGTTACTTCTTTGTAACAGTATACAACCAAGTGATCGTTATTGTTCACTATACCGAATGTGCCCTGTATTCGGTGGCATTCGCTAATATGGGAACTGTGGGCGAGCATTACTTGGGTTCTTGGGTTTTCGGCTTTCGATTCGCTACCGCTCGCCGCGGCGCCTGTTTTCTATGCAACGGGACATTCACGTTTCGTGTCACCCCGGGACTTAATTGTTTTTTGTCACACGAGTTATCCTTTTTGGGGCGTATCATGTTCGAAATTGAAATTAACTGACAGAGCCACGGTTCCCGGGTAATGAACATGATTTGTGCAGTGCGAAATGTTCTGTGGGAGTAGTTATGCCATTGCAAAGGTCTGGGAACCTAAGTAAACAAAAGTGGTTGGGCCTTTTGACAGTCACGAAATGGGATTTGTTACCCAAACATTGTCAAAAAAAAACACAAGAGAAGAGAAAAAAACAGAGAGAAACCAAAGACAATATAAGCTAGTTGAATTGTATTGTCTTTGGAGAAACCCACATGACAGAAGGAATATTGGCTACGTCAATCAAATGGAAAGCCATTAACTAATAGTGCGGCGCGGACTGTACCGCAAAAGGGAAATGCCCCGAAAATGCCCGGTGGCAACACCTTCGGAAAGCCATTTCCCTGGGAGCCGTCGCCGCCGGCACTTCCCCATCATCATCGTCATTACAGGAATGCCTCCTGGTGGGACGACGGGCCTATCGGCGGCCAGCATCTTGATGATCGGAGCAGGAACCAGAGCCATTGCGAAACGTGATTTGTAGGGTCATCATTCAAAAGGCATCGACTAAAAGGAGACTGAGCAGCAGCGGCAGCGGCCCGGTCCCAGCCCAAGTGGCAGTCCAGGCCAGATCCCAGATCCAAGACGATGCCGAGCAGCAGCCGAAAAGAAAATTAAAATGGTTATACATTCATGTAATTTAACGAAATTCAATTGAATGCCAAGTCACAACAACTGCCCGACCAGGGGCCAAACTAAACTAAAGCGAACTAAGCCCAACTCCCAGTACAGGTCGGAGCTGTGGGCACTGGGAGAAAATGGGTGTTTATCAGCAGAATATAAAGACAATTTTCTTGCCATTCTTTCATTAATTTCTCTTAAGATTACTTTTGTTTTATTTTTTTTGTAGGATTTTAAGTTCTTTTCTGAGCTTTAAATTCGTTAAAATAATTACAAGTGCTTATAGCCCACATTTTCTCTCTGTGCGGATGCGCTCGCTGTCTGCACCGATATTGCCGA